TTCTGCTGAACAGGTGTCACCTCTGCTGAGGAGGTGTGGGATCACGTGGAGCGACTGTGGGCTGCAGGAGAAATGACAGTTTGATGCATCAGCTGCTGGAAACTGCAGCTCACTCCTTTAACTTCAGTGCAGAGAAGTGGTGGATTTACTGGTTCTCACCTGCTGGAGAACGTCCTGCGCCTCTCGCAGGCAGCCAGGGTCCCTGTACATGTATGACACATGGCCGTCTTCTCCGTAACTCAGCGTCAGGTGGCCATGTTGCCTGGAGACACTGATATCTGCTCTCACTGACTTGACTGATGATGTGTCGCCTCGCTCGGCTGATCTCCGGCTGATCTCCTGTAACGACGCTTCAGTCTGCCGGCCTCTCCCTGGACATCCGGAGGAGACGCTCCTCATCTCACACTTGTTATCTCTCACGCAGACCCGAGCAGATCTTTGAACCTTTCTTTGGACTTTCTGCGTGATCCTCTCCGACCATGATTGGCGTCAACAGCCTGCACTCTGCGGGGCGCCTGCGCTCGCGCTCTCTTTGCACCGTGCGCTACGGAAGGGACTTCCGGATGATGGACCCGTTCCGCTATCCCAGAACCCCTCGCTCCCGCTCCCTGAAGCCTCTGGTGTTTCCAGACCTGCTGGGCAAAGCTCAGGACGGACAGAACCACCCACAGGCCAGGAAGAGGAGGAAGGTAGAGAAAACTCTTCAGCTGTTTCCTGTCACTTTTACTTTTTGTGAGTCACTGAGATGCATCGTTTGTCATCAGCTCGTCATTTGGTCTTCGGATCTCAAAGAATGAATCAATTTTCCCACTTAATTTCACACCGGTGTGACGCATGTCATAACAAAGCACATTTACCCAGCATGCCACTGGCTGACATCACATGCTCTGGTACCTGGTAGTTTCTCTTTTTTAAAGCCACGTGTATTTAACCTTTAATGCTCCACGCACAACAAACTGTCGTCGTCAGTCCGTGTGGCGTGTGACTGCAGGTCACTGACCTCACACAGCAGAGTCTTTAAAGACACCTCTCAGCACGTTCGCTCTTCTTTTAGTGACGATGATGAAACAAGCAGGTGAAGGTGACAAACATCCACCTGATGTCTGAGTGACCCTCCGGACTGGATGAGTCTGATTAATGATTGAATCTCCACCTTTGTTTTAGATTCACTCACCTCCTTACCTGAAACGATGAAGACAATTAATCACAACCAGCAGCTATTTGGATCCATTTGATTTTACACTTATCCTGAAGTTATTCCTTAAATCCTGTGTCTCATCATAGTAAATCTTTGTTCATGGGCTAAAATGTGTCAGTTTGATAATAATATCACATTTTCACCAGTTTTGCGAACGATGAATCTGTAAATTGAGAAAACATCCTGCAGACCAGCAGGGCCGTTTCAAGGGGCTTCGGGGGCCCCGGGAAAAGGTGACGTTGGGGGCCCTTCATCAAACCAAGGAACAAATGACAAATGAGTCTTTTACCCTCAAAATTAAAAACACGGGTCTGATTGTCAAATGTACACGTAAATAATTTAAGTAGTTTAACCTCAAAGGGCTGCTCACAGAATTGTCGCTGCTGTGGATTCAAGGCTCATTTACGTTAGATATGGAACCTTGCCGATGTGAAGGAGGCTTGTAAGCATCTGGGCAGTGACGGTGATATTGTTTGAAATGGTCGTACGCGTTTTTAAAAGCAGCATAAATTAACTTAATCAGCTGTTCACGGGGGCCTCCTCTCAGCTCGGAAGCCCCAGGCCTGCTCTGCCCACCCTGCCGTGCGCCCCTGGAGACTGATAATTTGCAGCTCTGTTACTACCTGTGCGGTTTCATCTCTTTGAATTATATATTCACGCACTGCATCCCTGCTCGATTGTTAGCGTTTTTAGTTGCAGGGTAAAAGCTCAGGATCAAAGCTCTACATTCGTTATTTATTTTATCCACTCACAGCGTTTTATGCAAAAATGATCTGGTCTGAGACAAAGGAATAAAGCTAATAGATGAAAGAAAATGTAAAACTCAGTGTGACTCAGAAACATCAACTCTGCATTTTCTGTTTAACTAAAATAACAATTCAACTTGTTCGGTGCAATTTTCTTTTGAATATCTTTGTCCACAGATTCATTTTCCAGGTGATTTCATTTAATTTCATTCTTTTTATTGAATCAACCATTTTCCTGTGGAAGGCGTGTTCTTACAACATGTTTAATGACTGAATGTTTACAGGCTTCAGGGACTTTTCTCTGTACCACAGGTATTTTTCGGAGATATCTCTTTAGAAGACAAAATACTCAACGATCGTCGAACATGACCACAAGCAGTTTGCCAGTTTGGGCTCCTGTTAGCTGGGGGTTTATTTATAACTTCCTGAAAATCATAATTTTCCATCTGCATCCTGTTTTGCATTAGCAGTGACTTGAACACTCCTATGAAGTAATTTACTTCCACGTTTGATTCTCGCCGTGTTCTCCGAGCTCAGCCTCTCATTTACATTTCAAGTTTTGATTCAGTGACTGATCTTTTGTCAACTCAGCGTTTGTGCACTACGGACTTCTGCAGGAGGAATCTGTTGTTGCACACCAGCACACTTTTACTCCTGCAGCTCACAAATTCACGGTTAATATTTGATGTTGACCAGATTTATGCTACAGAAGCAGTTTGTCTGTCGCTTGTAAAGATGCAGCCGGCTCATTATTTAAATGTATGAGCAGGTTAAGTTTGAAACATAGTCTGAATGCTAACATTTGACAGAAACCAGAACTAAGTCTGCAGGAGAGACATTAATATAAGGCCGAGTTCCAAAGACAACGCTGGATTGGTTACAGGAATCGAACCCTATTGTTGACCCAATTTAATTTGACTAAAAGTCACAATGCAGCACCGTGACACTCAGAGGAGGTTGATGTCTAAAACAGCAGATGACCAATGGCAGCAGTTCTTTAATCAGAGGAACGTCATGGAAAATAATTGATTTGGGCCGAGGATGAGGTTTCTGTCCCTGCAGTGTTGGTCTGTGAGGAATTGGGAGGTGGACGAGGTGGTGATGAACTGCCTGTTAGTGTCCTCTCCATCACCTCGGCTGTCACAGCCGTCCATCAGCGGCGTCCACCACCTCGATCTGCGTGTTAAACTCTCCGGTCTGATGGCTTCATGCTTCCCTCTGTCCCCCCTCGTGCTCCGCTGCAGACCAGCTGTGAGACGTAGCGGCCATATCGCAGGACAGTGCCACTGCAGGCTGATGAATGAGAATCTGCACAGCTCGCAACTGTCACTACAGATCTGAAGAAAAGTCAAAACCCTTCACAGCAGAGATGCTCCCTCATTAAATCAGCTTTGATTTTTCCTGCTGTGGATTCTGTTGATTACGAGGATGATACCAGCAGTGCCCTCGTGAAACCACATCTAAAGGAGACTTATTACGTTCAGGCTCTCTAATGTTCACTGTCCTCAGAATGTCCTTTGCTGCAGCTCCTCATGTCAGCCTCTGTCTCAAACACTTGGTTCTAGCTGCTGTCCAAAGACCAAAGAGACGTCTTCGAGTAGTTGAACAGTGAATTAATCATTTGAGTTGTTCTGTCAATCCACTGATCGATCGGTCGTTGGAACAGTTTCAGCTCGGGCTCCTGTGTCGTCCTGTTATGTTTCTGTTTTTCTTGTTCACGTTCTTGTTCCTAAGCTGTAACTTAATTTCGCTGTGTGCCGGTCGATACGTTTGCCTCAGAGTCTAAATTATGTATCGGCTGATTGATTTGCTCGTCTGTCACCTGACAGGCCGGCTGCTCGGTGGATAGTGTTGTTCTTTAAACTGATGAGGTGGTGCTTCACTGATTGGATGACTGATGGACAGTTTGGTGAAGAAAACGAGTTAAGCTCAGGCAAAAGGGCCGTTTGAGCAGCGTTGAGAAGGGGACGGCATTTCGTCGAGCACAGTTTATTGAATGAAGCTTGCTTACTCTGCAGCTCTCACAGAATTCCACAGCACACCTGCCCCCCCCCCCCCCCCAGTGATCAAATCTCCAACTGAATGTCATTTGCCACCATGATGTGAAAATGTGATTTCTGTTTCCCTCTGCAGGCTCTCTACAACTCAATCAAGAATCAGAAGCTGCAGTGGACACTGTAAGTCGTTTTCAACATTTGTTTTCTTTGTCCTGATCTCAGCTGTGTCTCAAACACACGTCCCGAAGGGCAGCGACCGATCGGGGGGGTATTGATTAACGTGTTAGCGTCCTCATTAATGACGCGAGTGTCGTCTGGCATGTGAGAGAAACATTAGTGTGTCAAGGGTTGCTATTCTGGATCACAGTTTCAGAGCGCCTCAGAGATGCCAATGAAGTCACCAGCTTTCCAAGCTTTGTTGCCATAGTTACGGCACCATGGATACGACTCCATGGCTACCGCATTGCTCTGTCCTCCCTGTGTTCTCTCAGCAGCAAACACACACGCACAGAAAGCGCTGCCGCACGGATACGTATGCACAAGAAATGCATGTGTGTGTGTGTGTGTGTGTGGGTGTGTTTGTGTGGATCTTCTGGCAAAGTAGGTGGGAAAAAGAGAGACAATCATGGAGAGAGAGAGAGAAAGAGAGAGGCAACTCCATTTAAATGGCTCTTTACCTGCTTCCTGTACAAAGGTGTGACCACGGCCTCCCACTACCTCTCCAAAAATAGCAGCAGCAGCAGCAGCGCTCCCGCAGCAGCTGAATAAAAAGTGGTCAGAGGAGCATATGGAGGAGGAGATCAGCAGAGAGGCCGGAGATCCAGTTCAAACATCTCCGCTGACATATAGACAGATATATAAACATGGCCGCCGCACCGCAGGACGGAGAAGACGTCATTTTTAGACACATGAACAGCGTCGAGCAAAAGAGAACCCACCTCCAGACAAGATGCGACTAAGAGCTGCAGCCCACAGCCGTCTGCTTTTTATTTTTATTTTAGTTTTGGCAGAGTTGCACGTGTCCATGTTTAATATTTTATCTGCGGAGCGTGTGTGCTGGAGCTGCAGCACTGTGACGATCCGCCACCAGTTTCACACCCGACTCGCTCGGTCGATGCATATTTCATCACACAGAACATTTTTTCACTTGGGGACTCATTGACCAAGTGCACAACACAGGGTCGAACACCGTGTGAAGGATAAACCTTTTACTCTGAGGCTGTTTCCCTTTTGTCCTTGTTGGGAAAATATTAAATTTGCACCAGTCCACAGCTCAGTAAAGTGAGATTCTAATCTCTTTTTCGTTTTTCATAGTCCAGCCGAGCATTGACTTACTAACGTGCCCTCAGACTGAGTCTAAAGAAAACACTCTGGGTACAGCGGGGCTGTGATTACAGGAATACAAATGGTTCTGTACATGTGAAATTCTGGCCTGCACATCTCATTACAGGTGTGTGGATGTTATTTCACTCCCCCGCAGAGAAAGGCTGCACATGGCCACTCTCAGCGGTGCAGTTGGAGGCACCCACATGTTCTGCACACACACACACACACACACACACACACACACACGTATACAGTACACACATGCTTCCTCGACGCAGGAGCGGGGGATGGAGAGCAGAGCACTGAGAGAGAGAGAGAGAGAGAGAGAGAGAGAGAGAGACGCAACAAGTGGGAGATCCAGCATCAGAGCAGGGTGAAGATGTGAAGATGAAGCATGTTGTACATCTGCTTCCTTTTTTTAATGGTATCGAACCATAATATCTGCTCCAGACAGAAATACGTCGGCCCAGCGGCGTCCTTGTGTTAGAACCAACCTCACAGCTGAGGCCACAGGTGACATGAGTCTCACTTGGTTTGTTGTCACACAGCGGCTGAAAATAAGAATAAAGACAAACTCCTTGATTGATTCCTGTTATTGTTAGATCGGGTAAATTCCAGATTTCAGCATTTGACGAGGAAAGTTTTTACATTTGAGGACTTCTCTGTTGTGAGGCATAAACTGTAATAATGGTAAATATGTATATTGTCTATAGTTGGTATTGGGCTTTTATTCAAAATCATTATACAGATTTAACTCATAAACACATATTAGATTGATAATTAACTCGTCTCTGATAGAAAACAAATGTAATAAAAGTGAGGAGAAGCTTGGTCATGTATAAGAAGAGGATGATGGATGGATGAACTTCTGTCCTCTTTCACTTCACTGTGTTCGGACTCTTTCTGCTCTTTGGTGCAATGACTCAGGTGAAAGAGCAAATCTGTTTCCATCGGCTACTGATGCAGCAACATCAGCGTAAAATCAGACGTCATCCACCGTTCTTTCTCTTTCCTGTCCTTTAATTTCATTTGTTTTTCTCCTTCTTAATTCTCTCTTTCATTCTTCACCCTTGCTTGACCTTCTTTCCTTTTCAATTTTGTCCTTCATCACATCCTTCTTGTCTTTATTTCTCTTCGGTTCTTTCCCTTCTTTTTTATTTGTATTTTCTCCTCTTCGTCTCAGTCTCTCCTCTTTATCTCCTCTCCTCCTTGTCCTCTTTCCTCTCACTCATGTTGAAAACGTTCTGCCATCTGAGAAGGATGAGCTTTGTCTCGTTTTTTCTCCCCCCCCCCCCCCCCCCCCCCGCTCTTCTCTACTTTGTCTCTGTGTAGAAAGGGATTCAGGCAGGCCGGCAGTTACCAGGCAACAGGCGAGATGCTCATTGGCTCCGTCTCTGCCTCTCTCGTTCTCTCTGGCTCCTGCACGGGGTTAAATGTTGTTATGTATGTTGGTTACTCATAACTTGGTCTGGGTGGGGGGGGGGTTCGGCATTCAGCCATTTTCTTCTATTTTCGGGCTGAACTTTTTGCATGGGTGTCGTCTGGTGAGGTAACTGGTGGAATCAGGGTGTTACCTCACCGGGCGGATGCAGAAACACTCGCTGTCGTAGCCCGAAGCATCGATCGTCTGTTAATGTGACAAATCCTTTTAAAAACACTGAAGGAACGAGCACGCTGCTTTGTGAGGGATTATTCAGAAGAGAATAAGATTATCTCTGCTGGAGCAGAGTGTGTTGTAAATATTGTCAAATACAACTCAAATCCATTTCCTCTAACAATTATCTTTAATGTCGTGTAAACTGGGTAGTCACAGAGTCTCAATTATGTAATCAGATTATAAAATAAGTAACTAGAACTAATATAAGATAACAACAAAAAGTAAATGATAAGTAAAGTTGTACTAAGACTGTAATGAAATGAAAAAAACATGTATAAAACAATTAAAACAGTGTACAGTTGGATAAAAACGAAATATATATAAATATACCACATTAAGAACAGAGACACGAATACGAGATAAAAATGTAATTAAAATAGAACGAAAACCTTTAGTCTTCTAAAGAAAAACACAAGTGTAGTGAGAGAACAGGAAGAAATGAGGCTGCAGACAAACGTCAGCCGCTCACATCAGAATCCTCATTTACAAAGATGGCTCCTCCAGGCCTGTTTCTAACGAGCGATGAGCGTCGAGCTCAGAAACTTCAGCGAACCAGACTCAACTCTTTTTCCTGACATCACAGTTTAATAAAGGATGGAGTCATTAAAGTCTGAGGCCTGCCAGTGTTTCACTTTTAAACATTACGTGACCTGGATTTAGTCAGACAGTCGAAATTATACTAAAGAAGAAGACGAGCCCGTCATTAAGAGCTTTGACGGTGGATTCGAGAAGTTGTGTCGACACAAGAACAACTTCCTGAAGTGGAGCCAGTCCATGCCAATGCATCTTGATCGCCCCCTGGTGCCTGGCTGGAGTATAGCTCATAAACCCCGCCTCCTCCATGTTTGCAGATGGGAACCTGAAAAAGGTTCTCGTGAAGTAATTTTCTCAAAAAGACGGATTCTGTCACTTTAGGTCATTCTAGTCCCACCGACTGTAAAGCTTCGTCTTCTTATCTGCAAATGAAAAAACATCCTGTCTCACCTGCGTGAGGTTTCCTGTGAGGAGGAGGAGGAGTAGATGTGTCTTCATCTCTCGCTGTGGTACTTTTGGATGAAGGGCAGTGGAGGAGTTAAAGCTTTTCCTCGACCCTCTGAGTACGTGATGCTTCTTAAATGTTTTGTGCCAAGAAGCCGGCAGAGGACGGTGGTATTACTCATGTGTCCTGTAACCGACGTCTCCCAGTCAGTGTGTGAAATCTCTGGACCTCTTGTCCTGTAACAGGCACAGAGTGAGAGGACAGGATACATGATGATGTGTTTATTCACTCTGCTAATGAGACATGACACATAAGTGTCGATCGCAACGGAGTCATTTTTTTTATTTTTTATTGTTATTTGTATATTTATTTATTTGTCTCCATAGTGACGAGGAAGAGCTGCGGAAGTCGTTCTCGGAGCTCGGGGACAGTCTGAGCGAGACCAACACCTCTCGATCCATGAAGAGGGTGGCCAGCAGCGGGAAGCCCCTGTCGGATGAGGCGGAGCCCTCGGGAATGCTGCTGTACAAGAACGGATTCCTGGTTCGCAAAGTCCACGCAGACTCGGACGGCAAGAGAAGTATGAGCTTTATGCGTGGCGTGGGCAAACCATGGGAGGGCGCTGTGTGCACATTCTGTCCTGCTTCTGTAGGTGCAGAGGAAGAAACACACATTCATCACCTGCCACTGATGAAACTTAGACCGTAAATAAAGATGGAGGCACGTCAGCTCCTAAAAGTGAAACCAAATCATCTCAATGGCCTCTTGGTGGCTGGCGGCAGTATAGATCATAAACACTGCCTCCTCCATATTATCACCTGGGACAAACTCATTTTAGGTTTTTTGTGTATAATATACTGCTTCATTGCCCCGTTCATCTAATTTGTCTCTTATTATCTCCTCATATTTTTATTCAATATTTTATTAAAGTGTTGAATTTTGAAAGAGATTAGTTTCACTCTGGTATGAACCCGTGTCCTCACCTCTGCTTTCTGTTTTTAATGCTGCTCATGTAAGATGCAGAATAAAAATAACATGATATAATACATCATATGTGTTAAACTGCAGGTTTCATGTCATCCATCATGTTTCTTCCTCCTCACAGCACCAAGAGGGAAACGAGGCTGGAAGACGTTCTACGTCATCCTGAAAGGGCTCATTCTCTATCTGCAGAAAGTAAGTCATGCATAATATATATATGTATATATATATGTATATATATATATATATATATATATTTGTGCCAAATATAAAAATTGAAAAGGCAAGAAGCTGTTTACAAGTTTAAATATCAGGTAACAGCCGCTGCAGTGAATAACCACATCCAGCCTGAAACATCAATAACGTTATCACGAGTTATAGAAATGATTGTCTGTTTATTGCTGTGAGACATTAATACATTTTCGTTTCCTACATTGTTGTAGTGATTATTTGTTCTTGTGTCAGATGAGCAGGATCACAGCATCACAGAGTTTAGTTATAGTTTTAATTCTCTTCTTCAGTCACGGAACTTAATGAAAACTTCACTGAACTTTATGGAGGCAACGTGCTTTATATTTTATTTGTGTTATATCGAGGTACATAAAAATAGGATTTGTGGTTTTTCAGGCGGTTCAAACGTTACCCAGCCTGAGCGCTCTCTTCTCTGTAGAGGAGACCTGTTTGTGCTTATTCAGCTCAGCATCTTTAATAAGTGTTGAGACCCCTGTGTGGAATTCCTCGCCTTCATTTCGTCTTTATAACGTCCCTGCAGGGGGAGTACAGGCCTGATAAGCAGCTGTCTGATGAGGACCTGAAGAACGCCGTGTCCATCCACCACTCCCTGGCCATGAAGGCGTCAGACTACAGCAAGAGGCCCAACGTGTTTTACCTGCGGACCGCGGACTGGAGGGTTTACCTCTTCCAAGCACCGTGAGTCCCAGTCTGAGGATTTGAATCTGCTGATTATAAACGTTGAAGAGTTCGATGGCTGAGTGAGTGTGGATCTGGAGAATCACCAAACACATTCAACATGTGGTGGAAAGACTGAACCCAGAAGAGCGGAGGCTTTTGGTCATGTAGCGTAAAACAGCTGAGCATCCAGGCAGCTCCTGCTAACAACATGTGGAGCCAGCTGTGCCCGTGTGCCCGTGGCGTGCCGAGCACATGCAGAGCGCACACGGATCAATGACACACACACACACACACACACACACACACACATGCCGAGCAGGACGCACACTGAGAGTGAAGAGCAAGGTGAAAGTGTGTAAAGTGTGTGTGTCTGTGTGATAGCGGCGTCCAGGAAGTGGCACATGAGTGGCCACATGTCTCAGCCCCCCAGGAGGGCCGGCTCTGTGCTCCAGTTGCAGCTTGCATTTGTCCCAGATACTCAACCCCTCCCCATGTCTCTCTCCTCTCTCCTTCTCTCTCCTCTTTGTCCCTCTATCCCTCTTTTGTCCCCTGGGATTTCAGCAAGGCTGTTTCATTCAATCTGATATTCCTCACGGGCCCCTAATGGCTCCGTTACAGTAAAACAGGCCCGTTTCTCTTGTGCATTAATTGGCTCCAAAATCATTTATTTGTCAACAGCAAGGCTGCACTTCCTGATAATTATCCTTTTGATGCTGCGAGCCGGCTCCAGTGCTGATGTGAGCATGCAGCACTGATGAGTGTGTCTGTATCCACTGTGTGTGTGTGTGTGTGTGTGTGTTTGTGTGTGTGTGTGTGTGCGTGTCTTCTGCAGATTGTGCCTGTACTTACTTGTGCACGTTTGTTGTGTCTGTACGTCACAGGAACGCAGAGCATATGCAGTCTTGGATCACCCGGATCAACACGGTGTCCGCCATGTTCTCAGCTCCTCCCTTCCCGGCGGCCATCGGCTCCCAGAAGAAGTTCAGCCGGCCGCTGTTGCCGGGGACGATGTCAAAACTCTCTGAGGTATCGTCTTGTTAATGGATTTTTCACAGCTGGGTCTTAGAGCGGGTTAGATCCGAATCAAGTCCAGGGCCTGAAAATCCTTCAAACACAAAGATCTGTACTCTGACAGAGTAACTATGATTAAAATTATAATTCCATGAATAAACTCCTCACACTCTCCAGTGATTGCATCACCTCAGACTGTCCTGAAAACAGACCCAGCCCGAGAAACAATTTAATCCGTCAATAGTCTGAAAGTAAAGTAAAGTAAAAACATTTCCCGTCACCTCTCTTCAGTTCACCTTTGAAAAAATTACCAAAAACCAAATTAAATTATGTTTTATGAAAATAATTGTATTTTAACATGACCTGCCACAACATTTTATTTCATGCCAGAAACATTAAAATAATATTCAGCTGCAGGAGAACACAGGGAACATTATGACACCAGTGAAATCAATACTGCATCTCAATTGTATTTGTAAAGGAGTCTTGTTAAGTCCACAAGAAACACAGACGTCACGCCGAGGAGACGAAAGTAGGTGATGGGAAGGTTTGACGTTTTTTGACATCCGTCTCTCGCCTGTCTCGTGGTGGCTCTGACACAGAACAGGAGATTGTGATCATATTTCCTGCCACTTGACTGCGGCGGAGGCGCACGACCACAAGGCGATAAATACAGTTTTATGTTATCTCCAGAGTAACGTGTCTGAAAACCATAGAGCTGTAAAAAGCTGAGAAACAACATGAACGTCGCTGCTCTGATGAGTTGTGTTTCGTGTCGCTCCGTGTGGATTCCTAGAAATGTCCAGTTTGCTGGGGATAAAATAAGTGAATGAAAATACAGATGAATTCAGGTTTTTATTGTTTCCTTTGTCTCCGCCATGACGTCAGTGTTGATGTTGTTCTTACAGGAGGAGCAGGTCAGATCCCACGAAGCTCGATTCAGAGCCATCTCCACGGAGCTGGCCGAGCTGCGCTCTTATCCTCCCGACCGCAAGGTCAAAGGCCGCGAGCTGGAGGAGTATCGCCAGCGAGACGAGTATCTGGAGTTTGAGGTGAGACGGACTCAAATAAAGAAAGAAGTTCTCAAACTCTTGCAGTCATCCAATCCTGAATGTCCTCTGCCTGTCTCACGTTAACAGAAAACACGTTATGCGACCTACGTCATGCTGCTGCGAGCTAAAATCCGGAGCGGTGAGGAGGACCTGTCGCTGTTTGAGTCCCAGCTGTTGGAGGACAACGGGCTGCAGCGGGCTCACTCCAGCCCGACCCTGCAGGACAGCAGCCAGGCCAGCCAGGCCAGCCAGGCCAGCAGCACCAGGGACGGGGGCAACAGCAGCAGAGCCAGTGGCTGCAGCAGCAAAGTGCGGCAGGAGGGTCAGAGACACAGCTACCGACAGGCCGTCAAGAAGTGAGACAGGGTGGGGGCGCCGGGAGCGGCACGGCGTTGCACTGCCAGCGGCAGGCTGTCTCCCTGCATAGGTTTTTATTTGAGGTCCAGATGGGTTTGGAGCTCTGCTTGAAGGGGGAGCTGCAGTGAGGGTCTCCCCCTCGCTCTCCCCCGACCATGACGCCCTACCCGGCACCCCAATCCTCTCATCTAACAGAGGAGGTGCAGATCCTGTGACTGGCGGAGTGGCTGGGAAACACCAGCGAGGCTGCAGGAGGTGGGAGGAAACAGATCTGCAGGGACGAGGTGTCTTTGAGAACCAACGCTGGTTGCGGTGGCAGACTGTCCCGTGCACGGAGATAAAGAGCGTGCACAGATTAAGGGACCTACATCCAGCATCCGTTCCTTTCCCCCTTTTGTTCTTTCAAGGCACCTCTCCGACCACGTCCTCCCTCCTTTTTTCTCTCCTTTCACTCAGTTTTGGGACCAAACACGTTTACACATTTTAAAGCATCACACTCACGATGACTGAGGGTTTGATTTCAGCTGAACTGTTAGTTAACGGACGGAGCCATCACATTCCAGCTCCTTTCTTTAATGCCACACCTCCACGGTGTGTGTTCACATTCCGTGCCGGAGACGGACATCTCAGCGTTTCACTCCTGAGGGCGGAGAACGAGTTGAGTCTGTGGACGGTGCGCGGCGCGTCACGAGGAGGCGTTGGGGCTGGAGCTGCAGCACTGAACACGATGAGATGGTGCAGCTCCGCGCAGCTCGTCTCCTCCTCTCCCTCATCGCTCATGTCCAGTTAGACGCAGCGGCATCAGTAGAAGTTCACAGGACTCCTGATATGCAAACAAACCTGCATCTCATTTAAAAGAGCTCTTTTCTTTGCCGCGCTTGAACAGACGACCTCTTTCTTGCTCTTGCTTCTGTCCCGTGACGTGCTTCTGTTTCTATTTCTTCTTCTTGGCCGAATGTTGTTTTTCTCCAGTGATCCGCATGCCTGCATCCAGCACCGCTTCTTTTAGGCCTTTTACTGCAAAACTGAGAGCGAGCACAGCCGCTCTCTCTGGGGTCATCTGAGTCGTCCGCCTCATGCCGGTGCCAACATGCGTAATCTTTGTCTGTACTTATAGCCTCTCATTTATAAACACTATTTGAACACTCACCAGGCAGACCCTGAATGTTCATGGTTTTCAGTATTTTTACAGTATTTTACAGTTGTTTGTCAATGTTGAACATACTCCTCCTGTGTATGTCAAGTGTGTGATGAAATATGCTATTGAAAAAGAAGATATATCCATACTCTTTGTAAACGTTCAGGATATGTTGTATATATAACGCACCCCCTGCTGTACGCTGATATCGTAGGATATATTTACAATATATTCAACACACTAAAGTGGTTGTTAGGTTCAGGCACACACAGCTGACATTGATCGTCACACGTTGTTTTCTCGTTGTTGTTTTTTTTTTTATTTCTTCGTACAATTCAGCACAATGCGAGTGTTGTAGTAAAGTCTGTGTACCTGTCAGAGATCAGGAGGGTGTTTACGCCACGTGACCGTGAAGCGAACAAGCAGAGCAAAGTGGGGGAAGTATTCCAGAGGAGCGCATGAGTTCACCAGGACCTGAGAGCATGACTTTATGATCAGGGTCCGTGCTTTTGTGAGCGATGCATGAAAAAGGTTGAAGTGTGTAAAAAAGAGGAAGGAGAACTGTGATGGTGAAGCTTCTCGTGGAGGAGGTAGTGGGGCAGACTGGGACGTTGGGAACATTATGGTTTTGGCAGCCATACACACCTCATAGCGTTCTGATATCGATGTATCGCCATTTTCTACTCAGGCTTTTCTTAAAATGACACCTTGAGCAGCTGCGGTGCCAGGGTCCCACCAGCAGGGAGAGCTGTCAACATCCAGTTAGGTTCTTTCAGCCATAATCGAAACCTGCTGCACCCGCAGTGAATATGCAGTGAGTCGCCCGCTCACCTGAGGACGAGGCTGACAGGGCTAAATGACACAGGACTTGTTTTTACTACTATGGATGTCAAGTGTGTGTGTGTGTGTGTGGGGGGGGGGGGGTATTCAGGCCTAAACAGACCATGTCGTGTTTTTTTCTCTCAATCATGATCCTGGAACTGTTTTCAATTAATCAATCAGAACATCGATCTGCAAATATCTTGACGATTCATTTATCGGTCAGTTTAGTTTAGTTTCAGTTTTAAAGCAAAAACAAGTCAAACCTTCCCCTGACCAAGCTTCTCCCTAACGTCCCTCTTTGTCTTGTGTTGTAGGAAAACTGTTCTTCACACTTCTAAGTGTTTGTCTGTGCCAATTATTTTATTGATTGATTGATTTTTCTGTAAAATCAGAGAAATGTCGAAGATGACATCTTTAAATTTCCTGTTTTGTCCAAACAAATTGTCCAACAAATTTTCGCCTGCAAATTAATCTGCAACTATTTCATCAGTAGATTAATCATCTGTCACGACATCTGCTGCTTGTCGCTTCAAACATGTGAAGATTGGTGGTTTTTCGTTGACAGTAAAAGAAATCGGTCTGGATCATGACGACATACACGGAGACTGAAAGATGGAATTTCATTTCAACACTTTACAAACTGAAGAAAATAATCAGCAGGTTAGACGGTTAGTGACTAAACCCCACAAAGACTGAACAGATGTTTCTTGCGGGAACTGAGAAATCAAATCAAGGTTGACCTTCGAGAAAACACTTTGGATTTGGCTTTTCAGTGTGTGTTGGTCTGGAATCTATCAGTCTCCTGATTCTCATCGTTCAAAGTATTTTAGGATCAGACTTGTAGCTGCTGTGGCTCCCAAGGGTTTTTATTTTCATGCAGAAGGTCACACGATATTTTCATGCCAAACAATAATGAATAAATCAATAGGTGAAGCAAAAATAGCTAAAGATGACGTGTGTGACGTGGGACCGGTCTCTCTTCTACTCATTCTGATGTTTCGGTTGTAAAATGAGGATTTTGAAAGTTAAAGAACAGTAACTGTTTTGCTTTGTGCACAAAAATATGAGTTTCTTTTGGAAAATGCAGTTTTATTGGAGACTGAATCGACATAAGATCCAAGACGTGACGCAAATGTAGTACAAGTACTGCAACAACTTACTCCTGCTGTGCGTCACATGTATTCCAGGCCGAGGCGCTGTACAGTCCATACAGTGAGGAGGATGTGGTTTGAAAGGAAGGTGATTCTTCAGAGCTTCCACCTTGGCAAAGTATCCAAGGTCCTCTCCTCTCCTCCCTCTCCTCTCTCTCTCTCTATCCGTTGTCACTCCTCCCTTACATCATCGAGCGGCTGCAGGTTCTCTGGTTAGCGTGGAAACGGCCGGTTCCCCTGGTGACGGCCCTGTGATGCTGGAGTGAAAGTCACCCCGTCAGGCCTGCAGCACCCAGGACGAAGTGTCCTCCTCACCTGCACCCTCACAGCCTCATCTCTGAATGTGACATGTAAATAAAGCATGAGGTGTTATGGCCTGCGTTCATTTTTATTATTGTTAGAGTATTAAAACCAAGGGGTGATACATGTATAAGGTAGGGCAACATTTTAATTTCCTGTCCGTGAGCTCATGGTCATTTTTTTTATTTTTTTATAAATGTGAATGAAGGAACTGGCTGTATTTAATGCTGTCGTACGCTGTTGTGTTTTAGAGAATCAGCTCATTCAAATCTCTTTTCCGTGTTTCGGTCGGAGGACCCGATCACCGCAGCGTTGATTGGACGGGTGCAGGAGAGGCGATGTTCATCTTATGCTTGAATCCAGTGAGCTCCATGTGTCACTGCCTCACTCAGAGTCACAGAGGAGATGTTGTCTGTGAGCCTCTGGTTTCAGGAGGCGGAGAAGATACAAATAAAAGTGTTTCGAAAGGTTCGACCGTGTCTGTGTGGAGTTTAAATGAAATACTTGTACACAGTTCTGAAGTATTTCAAGATTTCTACTGTAAATTTCTACTTAACTGCATATTAGTCTTTATCCATCGTGGAGGTGGTCTGACTGATATATTACTAATCTGAACCGTCACAACTTTAACAGTGACAGAATATAACATGACTCAGTGATGTAATTTACAATGAATCATCAGAAACAGAAAGAAAATACGAACTTTTATTTTGTAAATATACAAATACAGGGTTTTTAAGTTAAGTTAAAGGTTAGACAAGTTAAAGGTTAGACAAGTTAAAGGTTAGATTAGTTAAAGGTTAGGTTAGTTAAAGGTTAGATTAGTTAAAGGTTAGACAAGTTAAAGGTTAG